TTTAATTTAATGTTTACTTATTGAAAAAATACAAAAATTATACACATGTTTTTTTAAAATATAAACAATAACATATTCTCTTTATATTTGATAAACTTTAATTTAATATTGTTTTCCATGACCAAATTTTAATAGTATTTTATAAAATAAATGTAGAGTATCTTAATTTGATGATTAATATAAGAGAGTAAAGAAAAAAGAAGTATTGTCAATATTTTGCATTATATAATAGTATACAGATTATTTGTATTCATTAGAATAGTCCAAAACATATTAGATGAATAAAATAGTTTTTTATAGCAAGTATCATGATTTTCTTTTGTAATAACAATATTTTTAGCAGTTTCTATGATTGTAATTTCAAAGTCGAGTCTTATTTTTGTTGCAATGTTTTATGGTTAAGAGAGATATTTATGAATTGAATTTTGTTTACTTTTGTGTTAAATTTATTCTATCTAATTTTTTTATTCTTTTCAAATAAAAAGAAGTAAAAGTTTGGATAGCTTTTGAAGTTCTCTTTAAGTTAGTTTAAAGAAAGTAGTAAAACTTTATTAACAAAGAAGTATAGGAACTTTTTGTAAATGTTTTTTTTGTATGTGATTAGAGAATTAATAAAAAAAGAAATATAAATAAATACAGTATATATCTTAAATTTATATTTATTAAATTCCATAAATTATATTTTAAATATATTAATACCATTTAAATAACAAATTTTATTTATATTTTTTAAATTTTTAATTTTCTTAAATTTTAAAAAATATTTATAAATGTTCTATGCTATATAAGATGAGAAAAAAACTTAAAGAAAAGAGATTTAATAGTTATAATATAAAAGTATTAAAAATAGATAGATAAAAAATAAACAATATATTCTTGATTATTGAAATTCTTAAAAAGTAGGTAACTTAAGGTACTAAATTTTTAATAGGGATTTTATCAATTGAACTTCCTATTAAGTCAATAGGATAGATACAATATGGACATTATTTAACAATTCATCTATAAAATTGATAGATTTGAGTACAACTTTTTTCAAATTTTCAATATCACAGGCTGCTCATATTTGAAGTGACAATAGTCTCAGGATGAATAGATTCTTTTGGAAACTACTTTATTATAATTTGTTTAAAAAGTGTATAGATAATGTAGTCTAGCATGATTGTCCAAACATAAATGATATTAATGCTACCGAAACTTTTTAGGAAAATTTAAAACCAATTACCAAGTAACTTTAATAAATGGATTTTATAAAAGGTCACTCTGGCACGGTTCGTACTGAGATGTTTGTTTACATCACGATAGAAAAATTCATTGAGGGATAATATTGCACTCTGCTAGTGAAAGTAATTGATCAGATGGGGTGTAAAGTAAAATGTTAAACTATTTTATTGTTATGAATGATCTTTTTTTACAAATTAAAGTAAATTTCAAAAAATGCTAACGAAATTTTTTTTTTTTTCGTTTTACTAAAGTAATGTTGAGATTCTAATGCAGTTATAATAATAATAGACAAGAGTTTTTACAATTTCTAGGGCTTACATGAAATCAGCTGAATTATGCAGTGACAATGAAAATCCCCTTCCAAGCGTTTCTAAGATAATTACTAATTACATAATCTAACAATCGTCATTAAAATCCATCTTTTGCACGGATATTATCTCAATGTCTTCCTCGCTAAACCTGTTCATCCGGAAAAACACTCTTCTTAATCCAAAATCGAATATCGCCAAACTTATTGTGATCCATCGTAAAAACCACACCGGCAGATCTTGTAAGAATTCCTATGTATGTAAAATAATTTGATTATGATTAATATTGGCCAAGTGTATTACTTCCAATAGCGTCAGATGAGTTGTAATGATGAAGACAAACCCTCGTAGATGGTACACTGAAAGCGGTCAGCGTATAGTGAAACCAGAAGCACATTACTATCGCGCAAACAACCGCCAGGGTTGTTTTCCTGGTTTCCCTTCTAATCTCTCCCATAAATATGCCAAATAGTTCGTCGACAGTTATATAAGCCGTATATATGTTGCTGATTGATCCCAAGAAAAATAGGCCAAGGTGAAGGTGCTGCATTAATCGGTTGCACATTACTCTAAACCAGAACTCGGTGTCCGTTATGGAAGGGAATAATTTGATCACAAGAAGTGGAAATGTGGAGTAAACGATGTCGCTGTGAAGGACAATATCAGAAGGGCTTAATGCGGTACAAAAAGGGAGATTGAATGACGACCACGTTGTGGGTGTAACGATTGTCGTGAGTATCGACTCATCGATAGGCGTCGTGAGGTTACTGGGGTTATTTACACTTGTAGTATTGTTATCGGTATGGTACAATGAAGATGTCAGCATGATGAGTAATTTCATAATATATCCGCAAGGAACCAAGAGGGCCAATATTGTGATGAGTGTTATGGTAATTTTAACGTCTGTTTTTTAAGGACAAATAAAATAAGCAAGGCGATTGCAAAAGTAAACGAAGCATGTGGATAACATTACAACATACCCCCTCGGTTCAAAAAATTTCCGATAGTTTTCTTTTTCTTTATGATATATTTAAATTTACAGGATGTACATCGATCAAGGTTTTTTCCTCTACGAACTTTCAATAATCGATTTCGCCAAAGTGTCAAGCATGTCGAATGTACGTATTTTACACTTCCTATCAATTTAAGGCATGTCAATGATAAGGTAAAAATAACTCTTTTAGGAGAAAGACCTAATTTGAAAGCCATTATGCACTGATTATGCAAGCTATCCATTTCATACCTTTACATTTGCAAGGAGCAATAAGTGTCGAAATGTTTTCACCGCTAAGACAAATTCTACAGATTGGCGAAGACTTCGTAGACATTTGTGTTTCTAAGTAAAACTTAAATTAGGTTTGCCCTATTAACACCGGGAATAAGTTGTGTAAACAATTTCTTTAGAGAGGATTTATCTGAAAACTTTATGAACCGCAAGGATGCATAAAACGAGCAATCAATTTTTGAACCCCACCCTTGTTGATCTTTTGCGTCTATCTGTGTCACCCAATTTAACCGTGCGACGCGACATGGAACCATTTTTTTCTCTAAAGTTGAATTTATAATAAATTATTAAATAGGTAAGTTTTTAATTTTAATAATAATAATATTTTTAGCAATAAAGTTTGTAATTTAATGAACGGGCATAAAAATGCTACCGGGTCCTGTACATACGAATATACTTTTGTTTTGGTGGTCGTACAGAGGAAGGCGACGAAAAAGATGCTTATTCAATAGTATTCCATAAAAAATTATCCGACATGTCACGTGCTTTAAACCTAAACTTAGACAAAAATCTTTCCTGCCGGTCAGCATTAGATTCGCTCGTTACCACGTAAGTATTGAATCCCTTTTACTAACTCGATTTCATTCATTTGTTCACGGTTAACCAAACTCTTTTAATATTGCAACGTTTATCTCTTAGGATGCGGGATCTCAAAGGGGATCTTCACCCGAGATTCTACTATTCTAAAATCAATGTATTAAATTGAATCAAAATGTGATGCTTATAACTTGTTTACAGTTAGGATAGCTATAATGGGATCAAGTGATCCAAAGACATTATTCCTTTTTTCTCCTTCAATCATTGTTGTTGAAGATATTGGAAGTAAAAAAGATCATCCCTTGGAATCCGTTCGACTTCACACGTTCTCTTAAGCTGTGAAATAGTTCTCCCTTTGGAATTCGTTGCAATATTGAACAATTTATTATTAACTTGGATGATGTGAAATCTTTCAATCGAAGATTTTGATTCCTCATATATGATTCAAACTTGAAGGTTACTTGCTTTTATTACGATACCATTCGCATGGTCCAATGGGTTTCTATAAACGTAATCATCGTCAAAGGAATGAATGCGCAAACGATCAGAAATTCAAGAATTCTGAGCTGACCTGCAGGTAACGCATCAGCATCGTCAGACTTTTTCCAGTTATATGTCGGATGGAAATGAGGAGTTGGTGGTAACTTTTCAGCACTGTACAATGGTGGCACGAATGCAATCGCTTCGGTCAGCGTGATATTTTCGGGAATGGTGACTATTTGGGTTGATTCACTGGACCCTTGTTCTCCTGATGTGATGCTAAACATTTGATCGGATGGATAGTTGAATCTTTATTCGCTCGTGCATTCATCCGATGAATCAATGTTTCATTTACCTTTTCAAGTGAGACGCCGCAATTAACAAGGCAACATCTTCTTGAGTGTAGACGGCTAAACGTGGATAATTTCGTCGCGTATCCCGGTTAAAATAATAATTCTGAGCCAAATCCGAATGTTTGGTTAATGGCCGAGCATAATTTGTTGGTTGTGACCTATAGTAGGCAAGCAAAAAAGACATTGTAGGAAATTTTTTTTTTTTTAAAAAAAAAAAGAAAGAACATTTCGACAAGATATCAAATTTACCCAGGAGCCGGAGTACGGTATGTCCCCGTTATAGGAACACCTGTATTTGTTTCAGGATTCTGCAATTGGAAATAGTTAATTCGAGTTTTTTTTTCGATTTCTCGTTTTCGAAATCAAATTATCACTTCAGATTTGTATTATAAACTTGCGGGTAGCATTTCTCCAAACCTTTGGATAAATGGTTCCCTTTGCTATCACAGAAAAAATTTGCCTACCACTGTGAAAAATTGACGGATTAACTCATAAAGTCTACCAGCTGAGCCTCGAGTATAGGAAGCCATAATAAGACTGACACAAATGCGGCTAAAATCGATGATGGTGCATCCTTTTATATTTTTTCATGGAATGGTTATTGGGTCACGTTAGTGTATTAGTACATACTGTATGTGCAGTACTTGCATCTGATGAATACCATATAAAATATGCATTCTTGTATACGCTTTTTTTTTTCTTGTCAAGTTGAGTATTCAGGAATTTGGCGTCCTTACTGTATATACGCACCTACGTCTAATAAATTCACTGCACCTCACTTCTGGGTTTGAGGAAAAATTTTTTAAATAGTCATTTTTCAACCGCCTCTCCTAAAATCAATCTTGAGAATAATAATAATTCATTTTGCTCGCCATTTCAGTTTTCAGGATCAGAATTCGAAGTCTTAAAATTTTACATATTACTATTGTTTGACGAATACGACACATTTATTTGGGAAGAAACGCCTCACGATCAATAGGAATTTAGTAATAATTTCCAACTGTTGGATTTTTCATCGATTTGCCACACTAAAGAGAAAATGGTGCAATCGTTTCCGAGAGAATGCCTTGAAGAGGTTTTTCACATACTTGAGAATGATAAATCTACCCTGCTCACATGTCTGCTGGTGAACCGATTCTGGTGTAGAAGCGCTGTCTCATTCCTATGGAAACACCCATTTCGACTTGCCAAGAAACCTTCGCCCGAACTGATAGATATATACATCTCGATGTTTAGCCCACAAGTCAGCCGTCAACTTGCTAATGAGGGGATAAATGTGAACACTAATCCACCGAAAAGATTGTTCAATTATCCGAGTTTCATTCGAAAATTTAGGTTTGATGATTTGTACGAATCAACATCAGCCTGGTTACAGGAGGGTTACGACAAAGGAATACAACTCCGGAGCGAATTAGAAATTTTCGATGACCTTCGCGTCATTAAAATCCTGGTGAACGAGCTCATTAAATTGTTTTTAAGTGAATCCCCAGTGATTTACTTTCTCTCGCTCAACACTCAACGACTCGTCGGCCTCATCGATCGACGATTTTGGTCGCATCACCCTGGCGATATACAATATACGCCCACGAGTTTTGAGGACTTTCGTGGGGCTTATGGGTTTGATGATTTACTACAATTACCTTCATATGCCGGCGCCGTCAATTGCTTGCCTTACCTGCGCGAATTCGAATACGGGGGTGATGCAACTGATGGAAAGATTGTACAAGCGTTATCAATGATTTGCAAGAATCTTGATTCTTTAGAGATAAGTTTTTCGTCGTGGCAAAGGAAACACGCCGATCCAATTATGATGTTAAGCTTATTGCAGGCACAACACTCTTTAAAACGTGTCGTGCTTCGACGTGGTGGGTCAAATTGTTTGTCGGTATTGATAGAAGGATTAACAAGTCAGGCCAATTCGTTGAGACGCTTGGAGTTTAATGGAGCCGATTTTCGCGGTTCCATTTCACTTGAGGCTGTGACATATTGCGTCAACTTGGAAACACTAATATTTGATCGATGCTTGGGTTTGTCGGACGAGATAGTGGAGCCCTTATCAAATGCAACATTCCATCATCTAAATAAATTCGTGTTCAGGAAGAGCATCGCGTTTAGGGATTTGCGAAACATCCTGGGGCCAAACATGCATCCACCCATAATTCCATTACCGCCTGCAGTTGTACCCTCAATCCCTTCGGACTCCACAAAAAATGATGGGTCACCGGATGTTACCCATCCGCTTGCCATCATGATACAGAATACACGCGGGAGTTTGGAGGACATTAGGATGGGCTGGAAAGTTTGGAATATGAGGCGACCGTTAAACCTGACGCCGCATGCCGCAGGGGATTTTCCACCACCGTCGGTCCTTTCGACCTTGTCATTGTACTGTCCGCGATTGATGGTACTTGAGGCACATATAAGCAGAGATACATTACCACATTTTCTGGTGTTACTGGAAAATTGTAATCATCTGGAGCAATTGTGCATTTCGGTGGGCACTGAATTAATGGATGATGAAGCATTTTGGACGAACATGGGCAAACTGCTGCCAATGAAACTGCGACATCTTTTGATTGTAATTGGAGGGACATTTTGGTTGATGGTGTTACATTGGCTGTTGGGAAACTGTAGAGCACCATTGAAAATATTACAATTACCAAGGAGCAGCTGCATCGATGATGAATATCTTTGCATCATTACTCAGTACGCAAAGAGGATGGGAACGTTGAAGAGGCTGGCATTAGCGAAGAGGACGAAGGTATCATCGGAAGGGTTGAGGAAGGCTTTAATTGTGTTTGAAAGTATTACTAGGACTGGCGAGTGGAATGAGGATGACGACAATTTACGATAATTATTTAGTCAAGACCTAGACGGCAACGGTAACCTTCTTTTTTTCGCTATTGTGTTAATGCGAGGATAATAATTTATTAAATAACCTTGCCTTTCTTACGTGGACATCCTTTTATTGGTGTGTTACCAGCAATTCTTTGTTAAACACCTTTTCAGGCTTTAAGTACAAGGATTCCCTTCTCTTTTAAAACCCTTTCATGCGTAATTTATAATTTCGTTATCTCAGTTCGTTATCATTAAAATAATTTTCAATATCGGGCATTTTGGATGTACATTTGGATGCATCTTTGCGGAAAAATTACATCCTGAAAGACATTCACTATTATGTAATATTAATTTATTAGAACTCATTCACCCCAGGAAAGGTTGAACTATTATCACTATCACATAGCCGCTTTTTTTTTTCTTTAACCCGTTATGTAAATTTGATCCGAAACTTACTTTTTTTTTTTAAAAAAAAAAGGATTGTAATACCTTGCCATTTTCTATGCGATCACTGCACATTGCTGCAAATAAAACAATGAATTGTATGAATTGTATGAATTGCAAAAAAAAAAAAAAAAAAAAAAAAGACGAAATGAAAACAAGTAATTCGAATAAGTTGTATTAATTTGTACGATCATAAAAGAACTACCGTCTAATAAATCTGTTTGAAATGATTGAATTTGAGAATAGCATTTAATTCATGGATACAAGATAATTTAATACTAATTGAATAATGTGGTGATTTTGAAACAATGAAATTAATGTACGTACACACGTTATTTAAAAAAGAAAAAAAAATTATACTTGAAATTTTTCAAAAAAAAAATTTTTTTTTTATTATAATTTGTATATGCAAATAATTAAAAAAGTGATAATTGAAAATTTCCATGATTTTTTTTTACTGTAATACACGATTCCAATAATTTGTTTAATAATATTTTTTATTAATTTTAAATAACTAATCAATCAATTGACAATTATACTATATTTATTGAATTATCATCAATCAAAAATCAATAATAATTTTATTTTATTTTATTTTTTTTGCGAATTATACAGTGTACAGTATAATTTTTTTCTTTGATTTTTATTTATTTTTATAAAAAATTTTACATTACTTTGATTATTTATAATTCTTTGATTATTTCTTAAATAATTTTACATTAAAAAAATCTATATTGTCATATTAATTTGATACAAACTTTCACTAGTCAAAAAATATTTATTTGGCATAATGCCACTCATGTAACATTTGTCAAAAAACAAATAATTCAGCATATTAATGACATAAATAAATCGTCAATTATATAATTCAGCATTATTTGCTATATTTGTACCATTTTTACTATATATTTTGTTAAATTTTTCTCAAAAAATCATTAGACATTTGTCAAAACTTCAATTTTTGTTAAAATTCGCACATTTATCAAATTTTTAATTATATATTATATTTACAATTTAGAGGAATTATAACTAAATATTCACAAGAGTCTTGCCGATTTGAGG